TACATTTTTGAGATAACAAGTTGGATATGGCTTGTAGGATTAACTAGCCATGAATACACTGTGTTTTTACAGGACAATAGTCTCTAAAGGGTAAGCATGAGGTATTGTAGAGATTACTGAATGCTTGTATAATAGTTTCTGATGTGGCCAGAATGGGGTCCAATAAATAACCTTCTACATCCCATTGTGGGGAGTTGGGAATGGCCAAAAGGTCTGAGATTGGTCTGCAAGCCTGAGAAGGTATGGGATGTATGCCTTCAGAAAAACCAAAAGCTAAGAGACATGAGCAGAGGGGCAATGTAAGCTAGACAGTCACAGGGGAATCTGAAGTTCAAGTCCCAGAGAGACCAAATCCTAGTAAGTACTAAGGTCAAAGTGCAAGGGTCACACAGCTGAGTTTGGGAGTGAGGGAGGCAGAGGTTAGCAACAAAGATCACCTGGGATCTTATGGCTTCTACTGTTGGTGATGGCGGATGTGTGATATGAGAGAGCCCACCTCTCCCGTCCCTAAGACAGTGGCAGGGCGCTCAGTGATAGCGGTTCCTTCTTCTCTCCCTGTCCTTGAGGAGTAACAGTGTGCCCTTGACCTAGGCAAGGAAATCTAGCACAAGTAACAAGTTATGGCATCAATTATTATATCAATCTGGCTGAAGAACCTAGGCATGAAAGGAAAGGTCTGGTCTGTTACATTGCTCATGGCCTTCTCCGGAGCCTAACAGGCTACTTAGGATGTAGTTTCCAGTCAGTCTGTGCTGTGGGATGTCTTTCTGCCTGTTGTGAATGTGTGTTGCTCCCAATGGCAGCTGCATTGGCCTATGGCAGGGCAGGATGGAGCCAGGCGGGAAAATCCAAGAGAGATAGTGAGAGGAGAAAACAGAGTGGGAAGAGACGCCAAACCACCGTCCAAGGTGCAACATGTAATGGGACGTGGGTAAAGCCATGGAACACATGGCAATACATAGATGAATAGTTATAGGCTGAGTTAAGTTGTAATAGCTAGCTAGCAAGAAGCCTGAGCCAATAGGCCATAGAATTTGCAATTAATATTAAGCCTCTGAGTGATTATTTTATAAGTGGCTGCGGGACTGGAGAAACATGGGACCATGGGCCGAGTGGGACCAGAGAAGCTTACGGCTACAAGTCTATAGCTGTGGAGTGGATGTTTGGGTGGGGTTAAATGATAAAATGTATGAAGAGGCTTGGTGACTTATCTTGGTTGAAGGATAATAATTAGTAAACAGATATGACTTGAAATACTACATGTAAGTGATGATCTTTCACTTCCAGTATATGTATTTCAGATAGGAAAAAAAAAAACTAAACCAATAGCTCCCACCAAAAATAACAGTGCTTTGGAGTGAAAATAAGATTGAGAAAAACCAATTAGCACTGAGGCAGCATGTAAAGAGAACATCAATAAAAACAATCATTTCCAATAAATTATGGTAACTTAGACCTACAAATTGTAATAACTCTCAGCTAAATACACTGTAGTGCCCATAGGACTTAAGAAGTGAGTGCAGCTTGGTAAAGGAGCTCTTCAGGAAATTAACAGATGACTGCCACTGTGGAGACAAGACCAGAATGCACGGAGATTGAGGGAGTCTGTGTAAATGATCATGCTAAGGCAGAGCAGAATGGACGGCCAGTGTGCTATCCCCCTGTGGTTCGCTACACTGAGCTGAGCTAATGTGTTTTGCACCCAGCAGCCAGCACCATATGATATGGAACATTAACGTGTTGGCAGAAAAGTCTGTGTGGATGACCCCGTGCACAGTGTATGCGTTACTGATACAAATCCTTTACCAGTCATAAACAGGCTGCTTCACATTCCGGAAACATGCTTAGGAATACAGCAAACTTGATTCTCAAATCTCAAAAGAAGGGCATTAGATTATTGCCCCTGAATACACCCTTGGCCCCACAATGATTCACACTCGTCTTTTATATAGATCGGTGGTTTTCAACTGGTGGGTCCCGACCCCTTTGGCGTTGCGTATCAGGTAATTACATTACAATTCCTAACAATAGCACATTTACAGTTATGAAATAGCAACAAAATAATTTTATGGTTGGGGAGGGGGGGTCTCCACAACATGAGGAGTTGTATTAAAGGGTCACAGCATTAGATAGGCTGAGAACCACTGATGTAGATTATGAAGTATTCTTACGTTGTTTTGAGTTGGTATGTTTAACATTCAAGCATTCAGAGATTTTAGTACAAATAGTGGGACTTTCTGGCCGCTACTTTGTGGGTACACTGGGGGAAGAAGCCTCCCACTAAAACAATGGTTCCATTTATTAATGGAACCTACGTGAATAGCGTTGGCTAGTTCTGCCTCAAACTCTTCAGGGCTCTGCTCACATGCACCTGTGTTCATAAGTCAGGTGCTTGTGACCTAAGGAATGCCTGCAGTATATTTATATCTACAGGTGGTTTTTTTCTCTTTTAATGTATGGACTTACCATTGCTCTAAATGCATTTTTTTTTCATTTAAAAGTGACCTAGATCCATACAAAACAGGTCACAGATAAGTGAGATAAATGAATCCCAAGAATAGCAAAAGAAATAATGAGTTTTATGAGCAAATCAGACATGACTCTCCTAATCATCACCATCAGCTGCTTAAAGAAGATCTGTTGTTTACCTTTTGGTAGTAAGTATTTTAGTGCATTCTTTTAAATTTAATGTGGTTTGACTGCTGTGGTTCCTGTGGAAAGACAAGTATGTATAATGTCAATGTATTTTTACTAGCTGCCTCCCACATAATTACTTTAACATGAGCTAATTCTTCATTGCTATACCTTGAGGTTCTGTGACTAGTATTAGCAGAAACAGAAGTTAAAACCTTTATATCACCGCTATCTAGTTATTATTTGTAATGTTGATAGGGCTATGGAAATGAGATCAATATGCATTTACATATTTGACTTCTATTTTATAATGAAGATGTTTAATAAATCACTATATTATCCTAGAATATAACTTGGATACTAGGTTAATGCCCTGTATAAGTCTGTGTTTTAAAGGATTGATTTGGAACTTTATATTTCTTCACATCTGACTTCTACGGTATTACTACCCACCCCATTCCTTAGAGTGAGTTAGAAGCCCTGTTTCTGTCTTTGACCATGGATGGAGTTGCAAGAGGTTTAAGCCCTACCCTGGGGCTATCTCTGAACTGGCATTTGATGCATATGTGTTCACAGCATCAAGTTCACTGTCTTATTCCAAGAGTGATTGACATATTTGATGTAAGGCCATTAAGCGAAAGGAAGATTTTTCTAAGGATGGCCACTCTTACCTCTCAGAATGAGAATGTTCTATTGAAGACACAAAATCTACAATCTTAGTTATTGCTCTTATGGACAAAGAGTGGAAATGGAGAGGTCATAAAATATAAATACATGAAAAATTAATGTAATGGGTTCTTTTTGTCCTTATGATTTTACATGGTTAAAAGATTGTTGACAAGAGCCATAAGCAATCATCTAGCATGACATAATCTAGTAAATTACAACTAAATATTTTTAGGTCATACACTCATTAATCTATCATACATGGAAGCTCAGTTTACTGTTCCTTTTCGTGTTGTTGACATATAGTTGTCTATTGATAATCAGATTGAGTACATTTCCTTGTACCACTCCCATGATCATCATGTAAATATTTTATTAAAAATTACTTTAGTGGGGACTGGGAAGATAGCACAGCAGTTGAGAACGCTTGCTGTGGTTCCAGAGGACCCAGGTTTGGTTCTCAGCATCTACGTGGCAGTTCAGAATTGTAACTGCAGTCTTGGGGGATACCATGCCCTCTTTTGGGCTCTGTGGGTACAAGACATGCACATGGTACACAGACATCCATGTAGAAAAATCATTCATATGTATAAAAATTTTAATCATTTTAGTTGTTGAATTTGTAGTGAAAGAATTTATGATTTTCATAATGTTCATATGAGTGTTTTTCTATTGTAACATATTTCCATGAAAATTAAAGTATTATAAAGGCTCAGGTGTATTTGCTCTCCCCCAAGGAGCACCCCTCACCAGCTGAACATCTTCTAGTGCCATATTTAACGCAGCAGGTGTCTCAAACCATTCTTTACAAATGCTTCTGTTTTAAGATTTTTATCTCTAGTCAATTCTATATTAAACTACAGCAGTGTCTCTCCTCTTCAAATAAGTATTGCTTTACACTTTTTCAAATTTTGTACTCTACTGGTTTCTAAAAAGAAGGCTTTTCTCATCTTACTGATGATTACTAAAGAGGTTACTGAATAGATGCATACATTTTCTCCATTTTATCTGTAAAAACATTTTTGAAATCATTTTTGAGGATGTTCTGCTTGGGAAATGAGCCTGTGAGGCTCTGTAAGGCCTTGTTTGCATTGTACATCTTCGGGATTCCTCAGACACAGCTGATGTTGCCACAACCGTGAAGGAGTGAAGAAACTCTGGGGTTAGGAGAGCTGGTCTACCCTTGCAATGTCCATTCTTAGCCTCTCCTTGTTGCCATGCGTGCCTTGAAACTACCTAACAATACTGCAGTAATAATAAGGCCATAAATAGAAGCCAAAGCCAGGACAAAGGAGGTGACAGCGGAAGTGTCTCAGGCTTAGGCTCAATGTAGCGAGTTGAAGTCGAAAGGGCGCAGTTATAGGTCGGCAGGCTTTGTCCTTAGCATGCTGTCCTAGGGTTTCTATTGCTGTGACAAAACACCGTGACCAAAACCAAGTTGAGGAGGAAAGGGTTTATTTGGCTTACACTTTCACATTGTTGTCCATCATTGAAGGAAGTCAGGACAAGAACTCAAACAGGGCAGGATCCTGGAGGAGGAGCTGATGCAGAGGCCACGAAGGGGTGCTGCTCACTGGCTTGCTCCCCATGGCTTATTCAGCCTGCTTTCTTATAGAACCCAGGACCCCCAGCCCAGAGATGGCCCCACCCATCATGGGCTGGGCCATCCCCATTGATCACTAATTGAGAAAATGCCTTATAGCTGGATCTCATGGAGGCATTTCATCAGCTGAGGCTCCTTCCTCTGATGACTCTAGCTTGTGTCAGGTTGATACAAAACCAGCCAGGATACATGCTGATGACTTCTCAGTGAAAAGATACCTCACCTCTCTGGGCTGTGACTTCCTCAACTAGAAAGAGTTGATGATATATTAGAGTATTAGATGATTTCTGAGGTCTCACGCTGTATTTGCATACCAGGATTGTGTGACTTGCAGTCTCTAGAAACCATTATGCTAAATCTAAAGAAAACACTGGCTTTATGACTGAGGCATAATATTGTGCACACACAGCCACCTTGTAAAGTGGACACTGTGGGTCATGACATGGACACTGTAAGGGAATATGGAATGTGTGGTCTGTCTCCAGTGGAATGATGGAGTCTTCAAATTGACCATGCTGCGTCCTCCTCAGGACAGTAGGTGCAGCTTGACCCAAAGCACAAGGATCTTCACTCTTGCTCTGATCTGCAAAGTCCCCTTTCACCAGTGGGAGAAAAAGAAATCCCTGGATTGATTCACTAATTCACTTGCATGATGATGTCGGATTTGTTTTGAAGGAAAATAACTGTATAGGTCTTACACAGTATACGTTTACAGGACAAAACTACTTTAGGCGATCTAGAAGTGTTCCAGGAGAAAGCAGAAACAAGACAAGATGAAGGCATTAAATTTCACAACCCCGAATTTATGCTCCCCTATTGCTCAAGTGAGGAGCTATTTTAAGAGGGACCAGGTAGATAAAGGGCTTCGTTACAGCAGATCACCTCAAACTTAGTATTTTAAGCAATAAGAAGTGATTTTAACTTGACTTACATTTAGTACAAAGAAAAATAACCAGACGTGAAGTGAAAGGCCCTGCTGAGCCAAGCATGCTTCCTATGGACACCGTGAGGAGGAGACTTTTGCCCTAGCTTATCTCATATATTTATGGTTATATATAAGGAGGAACAGAAGTCACAGCACTGAATGCTGAACTTCCCCTCCACACACTGCTCCTTTCTTTTGCTATGATGTCAAGAGTCACACTTGACCATACCTTGGAGTGTAACTCCAATCAAGAATGGGAAAAGAGACTTTGGAGCCCAAAAACTAAAAAAGGAGCCCATATGTTACTGTTTAGCATGTGAGCCATGCAGAATTTCTGGAAAGTTGGCATTGTGGCTCTAGGTATAATCAGTATAAGTAGTGCATACCATGTGCTCCTTTGCACACACAAAATCCATGAGTTTTTAAAACCATAGAGTCTCACAATGGATAGATATATGTTCAAGGCAGTAAAACTCTGCCTACCTCCTAGGCCATACGCAACAAGATCATGAACATGGAAAACACGGGTAAACCCATGAGAAGAAAGTGAATATTAAAGTCATTCTTACAAAAGCTGTCTTTGAGAATGCTTTAACACACACACACACACACACACACACACACACACACACACACACACACACACTGAATTAACAAGTAGAACAAGTACATCACTTGGAAAGAAATGGAGGCATGTATGTATCGAAGATGTATGCTCCAAGTAGCCTTGGAGGCACCTTGTCAAGACGTAGAGCGGTAGATGCACGGCCAGCCTAGGAATCCTCTGGGTCAACATCTGTCTGTTTGATCCTCCCCATTCTCTGTCCCCTCCTTCCCAGAGAAGCTGGGAAGTCCAGACAGAGCACAGCTATCCCAAAGAACCCAAATCCCACAGACACGGTGGGATAATGTCATGCAGACTGAAAAGTCATCTTGCTGTACTTATTTCAGTTCCTAACTTAATGCTCTCTATTTCCTGTGTTTAATACATTTTGGTGGGAATTTTCTCAAATACACACTCTGAATTAAAGGAAGACGTGCTCCCCTCCCCAACGTGTCCAGAACAGGCTATCACTATTCCCAACAGATTCATATAAATCCTCATGCTTCAGTACATGACTGAGAGAAAAAACATAAATAGGCTCTGAATTTCTCCCACACAGCTTATTTATGCGCTCACTTTGCCTTGCTAAGAATTTGCCTCTTGTTGACCTTTAAAGCACTTATTAGAATATTTATCAGTTATTAATGCATGTGTGCATGTGTGCAATCACAGAAAGAAACTAGCTCTTTAGTTACTTCCTGCTGGGACTAATTTAGGTTATCATATCTTGTATGTGAGTTTGAAAATAACTAAGTCCATGAGTGGATGAGGGGAAGACTCCAGCCACTTGGGGAGAGAAGCCAGATTAGCCAGCAGGTGCAGACATGGCGCTTGCTGCCTGCTACATTTGGGGTTTCTGGACTCAAAGAACCAAACGTAGGGCTGCTGCTGTTGCCCATCACCGTGGCTGAATTGGTGTACAAGTGTCACCACAACAAATGCCACAGACTGGGTGGGTTCAACAGAGAAATCATTTTCCCTACAGTTCTAGAAGTTGAAGTTCAAGGTGCCATCAAGATCAGCTTCTTCTAAGCGCTTTCTCTCTGTCTCTGTCTCTCTGTCTCTCTCATTTATAGATGAGCATTTTCTCCCTGAGTCTGTACTTGGTCTTTCCTCTGTGTCTCAAAAGGTCACTCATCACAGTAGACTAGGGTCTACACTAATGACTTTATTTTAATTCAGTTACCTCCTTTAAAGGTAATTCCTGCCCCCAAACACAGGCCCATCTGAGGTTCCTTGGCCACCCTGACTACATGCACACCAGCTAAGTCGCAGCTTGAAATGGTGCTGGAGAGTAGCTTCCTTTGACCCGGGCTATCTTTACATAGCTTTGTGAAATGCTTTATTGTGTAGCTATTAAAGAGTTTGTTGCTCTCTGTGCGGGAGATGGCTGCATTCCAACAAGGAATGGAGTGTTTCCTGTGCCAATTCTGTAATGAAGTAAAGAGAGGAAAGAAAACTGGGTATATTAGGACTTCCAGTCACTGTTACAAGATGTTCAGGAGTGCAAGTTTTAGTCCTATTTGGAGGTTTCATTTGCTTGGGAAAAATGCTATTTATGTGTTGATGTAAAGTTCAATTATTTTTCTCCACATTCAGTTCCACCTGTAGGGACTTAAATTTGAATGCTCCAAAATATAGTGAAGAGGGTCAAAATACGATCGGCTTGCTAAGTGATCACATAAGATTCTCTTGCTGGCACGTGCAGTATTTTCTTTGGCTGACCATGTCCTTTTCTCCCTAGAAAGTAAACAGAAAACAGCTGTCTAAGAAACGGGTCATAGCAAATATATTTGGCCAGGTGCAGGATAAATAGATCATAAATTGGCTAAAATTGTCCTAAATAAAATAAAACAAATCTCTTGAGTCACACACAAGCCCAACCTGAAGGCTTTCAAAGACAAAACAGTGCAAAACAAAACAAAAACAAACAAAGAAACAACAACAACAACAAAAAACCAAAGAAAAATCAGTTATATTCATGGATAGTTCATAATTATATCAAATTCTGTTTCCTAAGGCTTGACTCTTAGAATTATAAGTGATCAAAATATCAAAAAAAACAAAAAACAAAAAACAAAAACAACCAAAATACAGAGTCGAAGCAGAATTGTTACAAACTATGATGTGTTATAATGTCACGTATCACGGAGGGCTCTGGAGATCTGGAGCCTTCTAAACCCTACATGATATAATGCAGGGAGTGCTGCTCCAGGAGGTAGAAGGAGAACACACTAAGTTGATGACCAGGTCTTATATTTTAGATGATTCTTTCAGTGGCCAGGAAAAAAAAAAAAGGAAGACATCCAGGAACAAAATAAAGAGAGCAAAGAGGAGGGGTGGCTCAGTAGATAAAGTAAGTGCTCTACAAGCATGAAGACCTGAGTTCAAATCCCCTGCTCCGGTGTAAGAGCTGGGTGCAGCAGAGTGCACCTGGAACCCCAGTGGGAGTCATGGAGATGGGGAGAACCCTGGAGCTTTCTGCCAGCTCCGGGTTGAGTGAGAGACCCTAGCTCCGAAAGTAAGGTGGAGAGAAGCTGCTGAGGAAGGCAATTGAGGTCCATCTCCAGCTTCCACAGGCGCTATGTGGCACACACAACTACACCCACAAACATCTGCACACACCAGCATCAAACACACACACACACACACACACACACACACACACACACACACACACACACGGTGGGGAACATATAGGGGAAAAACTCCAATTTGAAGGGGGCGATAAAAAAAAAAACTATCAATTTCGTCAAAAGTGAAACAAAATGATTGTTTTGTGTTTACACAGAGAATGAGAAATTTGATGAATCCAGTAGACAGGAAATTCCAGGGACCTTTTGGGGCTTTCCCCTTTTCACTTTCGGTTGTCTCCATCCCTGAGTAAAACTATTATTGTCTCAGTTGTCAACTCACATGAGAGAATTCTCGAGTGTAGAGGGAATTTAGGGATTTTCCTCCTGGAACTCCTTTGGTGTGGATGGTATTGCTCAGCCTTCCATCTCCCTCATTGAGTTTTCTATCATCTGCTTTCATCCCTTCCTTCCCCTGTTCATCCTTAAATGTCAATGGTTCTGTTCTTCTTCCGATTCCTGGAAGACCGTTGCCTCCCTGTGCTAATGACTCCCACCGCGTCTCTGTACCGCAGCTCCGGAAGCCAGAGTGCTACAGTCCACCTCTACCTTGACAATGACTGTTCTACATTCAGAGCTAGCCACCCCAGACTGAAGTGTTCATCATCTTTAATTGGGGTGGCCAGCTTACAAGATGACCCCCATGATCCTCACCTCTTGGCGTTTATGCCACTGAGTACAGCTTTTCCTATCAGAGGGGGCTGATAAGGATAATCCAAATGACATTGGGAAAGCGATGGCGCTTGTCTCCCAAGGTTGGGTCTTAGAAGAAGCCGCGGTCTCTTTAAGGTCTCTTCCACCATTCACTGTAGGGGAAGGCTGCTGCTATGTCATGAAACTGAGTCCCGGAGAGAGACCATGTGTTATCAATAATGCCTCCTGCTAGCAACCAGCACCAACTTGCCACCCACCTTGCCCATTCTAGTCAGCCAAACCGGAAACAGATTTGCAGCTTTCGTTAAGCCCCTGATATCTGCAACCTTGACCTGCGCCTTAACTACAGCAGACCCTGAACCAGAACCATGGAGCTGAGCCACTCCCAAGCCCAACCTCACAGAAACCACAAAGATAACACAATTCTATTGTTGGTTTGGGCTACTATGGTGGAGGATATTTAGTCATGTTGCAAATACATAACCGGTACTCCCAACAAAAAATCCACAACTGCTGCAGTTCTTCCCTCAGTGGTCCACAGAGAATCCAAAGTTCATGCAACAACTGATGGCGACTTTGGTGAAGGCAGTGGCCAGAAGTGAATGGACTAAAGAGACACTGAACAACACTTTTGGAGTTTGGCAGAAGGAAATATGGTAGGGAGTGTCAGAGAATGGTAGGGCATTAGGATGAGGGCTTGTTCATTTAGCTGTAGGTTTACCTGAGTTGAAGTTCAAATGGAAGGTAAGAAAAATCCAGTCATGTTGGAAGCGGAAAAATATCAATAACATGTCACCTTTATGGAAGAATGCTGACACTCTTTCACATTTTTGTTTGCTCTCTTGAAATGTCCTGTATGTAAATGATCACATTTTCTACTTACAATAGTACTGTGTGCCCATGGATTATTCTACAATATATGTAGCAAGAAAAGATGGTATTTGTCCTAGTTAGCATTGCTATTGCTCTGACAAAACACCATGACCAAAGCAATCAGGGAGGCAAAGGTTTATTCGGCTTCTCCTTCCACATCATATTCCATCATGAAAGGAAGTCAGGACAGAAACTCAAGCAGGGCAGGAACTTGGAGCTAGGACCTGATTCAGAGGCCACGGAGGGGAGCTGCTCACTGGCTTGCTCCTCGTGGCTTGCTCAGCCTGCTTTCTTATAGAACCCAGGACCACCAGCCCAGAGATGGCACCACCCACAATGGGCTGGACCCACCACCTTTAATCACTAATTAAGAAAATGCCTCATAGGCTTGCCTACAGCCTGATCTTATGGTTCTCTCTTCTCTGATGACTCTAGCTTTTATCGTGTTGACATAAAACTGCCCTGTACAAAGTTGTTTATCTGTTAGAAGAGCTTTTTATTGAAATTGTGACAAAGGACCCAAGGCAAAGCATGTCAAGCTAAGGATGAGTTTATAACTAAAATGAGTGGGATTCAGTCTTCAACAAGGTGACTGGGTCCATCTCTTAGCTCTGCTTCCCTACTTCCTTTGCTTTGCTTCATTCTTGTGGCATGGTGATGTCAGACTCCCAGCCTGACCACACCCAACATCAGCTCAATGGAGCTACAGCCAGTACCTTCAGCTAGCTTGTAGGAAAGTCCTGAAGTCCACTCTGATCGGATGTCTACCCCAAAATTAACCATTATACTAGCTGACCAAAAAAAAACCAAAAAAAAAAAAAACGGAAAACAAAACAAAACAAATCACTGTTCCATGAAATGCTACATGTAAAAGCGAGAACATGCAGTTGAGCTACAGTAGTTACCAAGAAAGAAGTTTTTAGGTCGAAATGCAAGAATAGAGTAAAACAAAACAAACAAACAAACAAACAAACAAAATAGTGCTTAAGCAAAAACTTAGAATCAATTGCCTGAATATTGAAAAGTGTCACTTGGACCCTAACATGGGAGGTGAACAGTCTTGCAGGTTTCAAAGAGAGAATGGCTTCCCCCCTTCCTCTACTCCCAGCTACCGTTTCATTTCATGCTGGGCCAAAGCATCCTCTACTTTAAATGCTAGGAGGGGAGGCCATGCCCATGCCAATGTACCAATGTACCGCTGTTTTCGAGATTCTGGTCCTCGAAGATCCTTGGGACTTGTGGAACAGAATGAGAATGAGAGAGGGACCTGTGGGGGAGGGGAGATCACTATGGGCTGTGGACTAGGGGTAACTGCACAAGGGACCTACTGACATCTCTCCTGTATGCTGAGAGCCCTTTCCAGCCTGGAATCCTGGGAGGGAATCTTACTCCCACACCAGGACGGGGCAGAGTATGCAGGTGGGAGGGGATGGGGCAGAGTATGCAGGTGGGCTGCCCCAGCAGGAAGGAGGCAGTATCTGCTGTGTGCTCAGGAAGCATGCTCCCTTCCCAGGAGCAGCCACTGCATTTGTCCTGAAGAAGAGGGCTGGGAGAAAGTGAGTCAGAGCTGGGAGACGCAATCAGGGCACGCCTGCTCAGTGGGTGCATCACGAGCTTCCTACTCAGACTCCTTAAAACGTTGTCCAGTAAATGCTCTGGCTCACTCAGTTGGGTTAGCTTTGAAACCATCCAATGTGCTGTAATGTTTAAAGACGTTTGTGGAACAAAAGCCCACTTTGAAAGCATGTTTGTTCTACACCTGAATCATGCTTTCACTTGTGTGCTCCTTCTCATGTATGATCAGACTCCATTTTGTGTCTTCCAGGAGAGCTAATTAATTCTAGTGTGGGGAAGCTAGAGGATATTTCTTCCTGACTTCTGACCTCACTTTCTTTTCAATTCAATGATTTTTAACATGCGTACTTCAGAAGTGGCATCGGACATCCTGTGGGAATACAATGAAGAAGAAGAATAGACACAATATAAAAGCACGTATTGAGCCAGAAGGACAAAAAGGAGCATTTAAACCAGTATGGCATTATAATCCTCGTTATTACTAGCAATGAAAATTTAAGTCACAAGCCTACATTCAGAAAGAAGAATGGGCAAAAATGTACCCATGATTTGTTTTTTTTTTTTTTTAAAGAGGAATAGTAATCTTTAGCAGTTGGTTTTACATTGGTTAAAAAAGAACAATTGTGAACGTCTGCCTTTTGGAGAGTGTGTCCGAACAGTAGAAAGAAGAAGCAATATTTTACACTTCAGACACCAGCCCTGAAAATGAGAGTGAGTGACTTAGAGCTTCATTCATTAATTTTCATACATTTCTAACAATAGCCTCCAGATACGTTAAAACTCATCTTTTACTGTCTAATTTGGGATCATTTTCTGGTATAGATGGCCATAAATCTTGCGAGGAATATTGCTTTTTTTTTTTCTTTTTTAAGAATAAATGGTGATTCCGAGGTGGGGGCAGGGGGCCACTGTCACACCCCAACATGCTCTCTCTTCCCCTCCGAGATGCTCCATACAGGCTTGGCAGCCCGTGGTTGCCAGCAATTTATGGTGACTGTCCCACACAGAAAGGGCACATCATCAAATCTTTCTGCTAATGCAATCTTGTCTTCCTGGAATTTGTAATATTTTTCTAATATGGATAGGGAATATTTTTTTTGAGAGTGCACAGTCATGTTAAAGTAAATACCCTGGAGAAATACTTTCAATTAAAATTCAGAGGGTTTAGAAATCCGGGCTAGAAAGGATTTCCCTGACCTACAAAACCTAATAAGATTTTTTTTTTCCTTTTCCATTTTATCCTTTCTCATACCTCCTAAGTGTGCGAGGCTGCCCTGCTTTCTTACCTGGTGGCCCCATTTAGATCTGCCCTCTAGACATTTCAGTCAGCAAATGGCTTTCAAGAATATTTCGAGAAAACTTGACATACTGATCTACTCTCAAACTCAGTGATTTTTTTTTTCTGGTGTAAAAAAGAGAAAGAAACCACATACACATGTCCACATGTGTGCATGTGTGTGTTGTAACTACACGTTCATGTAGGTGTGTGCCTGTATAGGTAGGTGACCATACTCGTGTATGTGTGTGAGGAGGCCAGAGGTTGGTGTTGGCTACCTTCTTTGATTGCTTTCCATATATATATATTCCACCATGTGGATTCCAGAGAGCAAACTCACATTTTTAGGCTTGGTAGCCAACACCTTCAGCTCCCGAGCATCTTTCTGGGTCCTTCTCTCCATCTTATTTTTGAGACACAGTTCTCATTGACTCAGGGCTCATGGTTGCCTGGGCTAGCTGGCCAATGAGCTCAGAGATCCACATCTGTCTGTCTGTCCTCCCAGCGCTGGGGTTACAGATGTGGACGGTGGTGCTCAGCTTTTGTGTGGATGCTAGGGATCTGAACTCAAGTACTTGGCTTGTATGGTGGGCACTCTACTGACTACCTTAGCCCACCACCACCACCACCACCAGACTTTCAGTCAAGAAAAATCTGACTAGGATTAGTGGTACATGTTTGTGATATCCTGAGACAGGAGGATCACCTAGATCCAAGCCAGCCTGGGCTACACACCAGTAACACTGTCTGAAAAACAAAAACAATCCAACAAATGAAACCAAATAAATCAACAAAACTCCCCTCCAACAACAACAATAAAAATTAAGTAGGAGATAGGTAAAATCTTTGATGCCTGCTTAAAGGAGTTAATGTAAGAAGACAAGGATGGAGCTGGAGAGATGGCTCAGTGGTTAAGTACGTTGCTCTTATAGAGGAGCTGAATTCAGTTCCTAGCACCCATACCAAGCGGCACACAACTGCCTGTAACTCTAGCTCCAGTGGACACTTGTACTCTCTTCTGGCCTACACGAGTGCACACACCCACATGCAGACAGGCAGACACACATGAACAATTAAAAATAATTAAATAAATGAATAAATAAATACTAAGAAATCTTGAAGGGGGGGCATATAGCGAGGATAAGAGAGATTTGTGTTGGCATGTGGATATGCAGTTAGGAATTGTCCTCTCTCCTGGAGAGGTCAGCTGTGGAATTTCATTTATCACATAGGCTATGAATGCCTGGGCTGAGAATTTCTTGGTGAGTTTCACACACTGTATATGTGACTCCCACGTCCAGTTTAAGTGCAGTGCCGCAAACCTAGCTACTTGATTATGGAACGTTCTCACTATGAACTACTAAATGCCTGGGCTATCCTAATGGCAAGAAAACTCTCTTTATCTGTAGATGTGTTCTCATTAGGATTCTGGTTCAAAGAAAAGATATTCAACCCAAATTTGTTAAAACGCCCACATTAGAGCCAAGAAGCAGGAGATAAGTGAGATGAATGCAAAGTGTTCATTAGAGTAGATTCTTGCTGTAGGAAGAGCTGGAAATAGGGAGCGCCAAGGGAAGCGCTGGGCCAGACACTTAGGAGACCTTTTGCCTGGGGACCTACAGGCCAGAGCCTGCACAGAACACCGAGCGAGCGGCTCTGTGAAGTAAATGCAATTATGTGACCCTCCTGCCCCGACCCAGTGCCTAATGATGCTCCAGGATCTGAAGCTACAACAACCACTATTGCTGAAGACACACGGGACCCGGCACGGGAGAGGGAACAGAGGTTTGTGGAAGACTATGAAGTTTAACTGCACAGATGATCTCATGTTCAGTCATCAAAATGCACGGAGGGACTTGCTCAACTTTCCACTGCCAAGGGTAACGAGTCATGACCTCATTCTCTCTCACACCGGTTTTAGTGAAGAGACTAAGATCCTTTCATTGGATTTTTCAGGGGACACACTGGGGGCTAGAAAGCAACTGTCACCTTCAAAGGCTGGCCCCTGGATGGCAGAAGATAAGCAAAGTGTCTAATGAACCCCAAGAAGCAGGGCAAAGGAACTCTAAGAATACCACAAAACTTCTCCATAAAGGGAGCACAAATTGGACTCCTAGGTGCAAAGACGCAGGATTATCCTTAGAAAAAACAGAGGGCTGGGTGTGCAACCCTGGTGGCAGAGCGTTCACGTAGCATGCTTGAAGGCTTGGTTTTAACCCCAAACACCAATTATACTAAGTGCGGTGGTCCAAGACGGCAATCCCAACACTTGGGGAAGTGGAAGCAGGGGGAACGTCACTCTGTCCCACACTGTAAGCTTGGGGCCAGCCTGGGCTACACGCGTCTCAGAAAAGAATAAAGAGAAGCCAAGAGGAAGGGTTAAGGTTAGGGCAAAGCAGGGCTCGGAGGGTGAGAGGGTTAGAACCCAGTTCCTCTGACTGCTCCCTTCCCAAAAGTCGTGCCACCCTCCAGGCAGTCTCTCAAGAGTAGCTACCAACTTCTGCTGTGACCTGGCCGCTCTCAGTTCTCTCTACACTCCTGCAAGTGCAGCCCCTCTGATGCCTAGATAACCTTGAACTCTAACTTAACTTCTACTTGGTGCCTTCCTGTCTTGTGAGTCCTAGCGGTAGGCTAGGTCACATGACCTAGGATACATTATGTGCAACTTATTCTCCCTCACCTCCCACCCCCAAATAATCAGGAAGTGCAAGACACCCCGCCCTCCAAGTCCCATTGTTCTCTGGAACTGAGGCCTCCGTCTCTATCTATCCCTTCAAGGACTCCATCATGCTATGCATGGCTGCTGTCTATCCGTATGCTCTCCTACTTTTCAGGGCTCCATCATGACTGCCTATGGCCATGAGTCTCTCCTAATGGAGCCTTTTGGAAGGGTTAGAAAAGAAAAGAGAAAGAATCACCTTCAGAGCAGCTGGATGGCAGTTTGCAGTCAGACTCCAGCACCCTTGAGTCTTTTAGACATCCTATTTAAAGGGTTCAGAAGGGTGCGGTACACTTCCGGCTGGCTTTGAACTCACGATCCTCCTGACTCCTCCTCTTCAGCATTCATCCTCCAGCATGTACCACCGAAGCAGTATGGGATGCTACTTTCAGTACTGAGTTCATTCAACTGCCCTCTCAGTGGAAATCACCCATGGACATAACCTGGTAACAAACATTTTCCATAAAAACAATTGATACTATATTAGGAAGATGCTTGGCTAGAGTAATAGGAAATCTAACTGCAATGTCCTTCAGCACAAAGTCTTATTTTTCTAGTGTAATAAGGTATCCAGGCAGTGGTTCTTTTTGTTTGTTTGACCCAGGGCCCTCTTGGTTGTCCCTTCATAACTTCATAATCTGCTAAGTGGGGCAGATAGGAAGGAAGAGATGAGATGGCTGCCCCCATCTTCAAGGAAAACACAAGCCTCCCCAGAATGTGAGACTCCCCTAGTGTTAGGTTTGAGCTGTGCCTCCTTCTAAATGGACCTGCTGCACTTTTTGCCCCAGTACCCCAAAATGTGGATATCTTTGGAGTCACGGTCTTGGCAGGAATCAAATTAAAATGGGATCATCTGAGTGCACTTGAATCTATATGACTGGTGTTCTCTTGAAAAGGAGGAATGTGGATACAGAGACATGCACGCTGGAAGATTGACCAGGAGACATACAGCAGCCACCATATGCCAATTTGAGAGGCCTGGAACTAGACCTTCTCTCACTCAGAGGGAAGCAATCTTGCTGACACCTCGATTTCAGCCTTTAGCCTTCAGAGTGATGCAATGAAATGTTACTGCTGGTCAAACCACCCTATTTTGGTAATTTTCACAGCAGCTCTGGGAACCCAATGCATCCCAGAAGATTCCCACTTTAATCGCATTGGCCAGAACTATACCCCTGGACTACTTGTAGCTAGAGAAGTTGGGGAGTTTTGCACTTGAGAAGTGGACTCAGGGTAGCTGGGGCCCCATCCAGCATGGAGTAGAAATCTGAAATAACACCTTGGAGCTCCAGTTTTGCAGTAGAAAGAACATGGGGCTTACTTTGCCATGCCCACTATATAGATTTGTATGTAACTTCTAAGTTATTACAAATGGGAATACCACATCTGCTCTTAGCATTTTAAGGCTAGCAATATCAGGAACTTATCCTGAGGATCAAGAGTGGCAGGCAGGAGTGTTGCCTTTGGAAGTGTGTTCATTCAGCTGAAAAGGGGTTATGAAGATTCTCAGGTCCAGTATCTAAGCTGGAACAAATGAGACTTTTCTCGGAAGAACAGGAACCATAGCTCCCTAAAAATCTAATTCTTCCCCCAAAGAAGGCATCATTTGTGAAGTGGAAAGGATGCTAGGAAACAAACCACAACCCTCAGAGTCAATAAGCAGGTAAGGGTGTTGCCTTGAGCTTCATGCTGCTGCTTACATACAAGTTCAGAAAGAGGGTATCAAGTTATCCCAACCTGAAATGATATTTCTCTTTTTTTATCGTGTGTGTGAATGTGCATGTGTGCTTGCACACACACATGTGTGTAATGTGTGTTTATATGAGTGTATGGAAGCCAGAGTTTGACATCTGGTGTCTTTTTTGATGGTGGCAGTTCTCCATTTGATTTGCTGGGGCAGGGTCTCTTGCCAAACCCAGATCTTTGCAGTTTCGGCAAGCCTAGCTACCCAGCTTCCTCACGCAACCCCATCTGCTCCTGGAGAATACTAGGAGCATACAGGAGCCCCCAAAGAGCAGAAGAGTTAGAGTCAAAACAACCAACAACACTACAGCCCATTCTTACTGACACGTTTTCTCAATTGAGGTTCCCTCCTTTCAGATAACTCTGTGTCAAGTTGACTTAAAACATCCAGCACAAATTACCCCTTGTTAGCTTGATACACAAACGTATCACTGTTAAGCCATAACCTTTCCTTTCTTTTTCATTCCCAAGATTACATATGAATATCAACTTTACAATATAAACAGTCCCACAGTCTTTAAAAACTGAAACACTTAAAAATTCAGTCTATTTAAAACACTCAGTCTCCTTAAAATATTCAGTCTCTTTTAAAATCCAAAGTCTTTGTAAAACTCCAAAATCTCTTTAAAAGTTCAAATTCTCTCAACTATGGGCCCCTCTAAAAGAAAAAAAAAAGCTAACTACTTTCTTTTTTCTTTTTCTTTTTTTTTTGTTTTTTGTTTTTGTTTTTGTTTTTGTTTTTGTTTTTGTTTTTGTTTTTGTTTTTCGAGACAGGGTTTCTCTGTGTAGCTTTGAGCCTTTCCTGGAACTCACTTGGTAGCCCAGGCTGGCCTCTAACTCACAGAGATCCGCCTGGCTCTGCCTCCCGAGTGCTGGGATTAAAGGTGTGCGCCACCACCGCCCGGTATACTACTTTCTTATTTCAGGACAGAAGAACCAGAGCACAGTCACAATCAAATCAAAGCAAACCCAAACTCAAGTTGGGTGACTAACTCGGTGTCTAGTGTTTGGGATCCACTCACTATATCCTGGGCTCCTCCAAAGGGCTTGGCTCACGTCTCCGGCTCTGTCCTCTGCAGCACACACAGCTTGTCTTCCACCACTGCTGCTGTTCTGGGCCCTCATCCCATGGTACGGGCATCTCCAAAATGCTGGGGTCTCTTGCTTCAACTGGGTTGCACTTTCACCAATAGGCTCTTCAGAAACTCCAATTAATGCTCCATGACCCCTTCATGCCTTCAAAACCAGTAGTACCTGACTGACTTTTACACTACCAAATTGGCCTGCCAGCATGAGGTACAACCTTGGCCTTCTCTGGAACACAGCTTCTGTGTGCCAACCCTGACGAAACACTTCCTAGAATATCTCACCTCAACGATGCTGGTGTCTTTTTTGAGACAGGGCTTCTCTGTGTTACTGCTCTAGCTGTTCTGGAATTTGCTTTGTAGACCCAGGCTGGCCTCGAACTCATGGAGATCCACCTGCCTCTGCCTCCTAAGTGCTGGCATTAAGAACGTGAACCACCACCGCCAGCCGGCTTGCTGGTCTCATCTTAATCACCACTACTTTCTCAGCTGCAGCTGACCAGAGTCGATTATCCCAGCAAAGCAAAGGTTTTACTTCAGTGTTTCCGGTCTCTTGTTAATCTCAGCCAATTCTTCATCCCCAGCTGAGCAGAACCACCGATTCTTCACACAAAAGGCCCACTCAAGTCTTTGCTTTCCTCTGAAGCCTCACAAGCCCGGCCTCCATCGTCTGCACTGCTCCCAACATTCTTATCTCTTTTTCCTCTGAAGATGTATCTTCTTTTATTTTTATTAACATATTGTTTTATTGATTTTTGGGGGAACCATGCACCCCAATCTCACTCATTTCCCAGTCCTCCCATGTCTGCCCTCCACCCTTGTATCCTCCCTGTCCCACCACACGAAAGAAAATTTAAAAAAATAAAATTTTTTTTTTAAAAAGAAAAAAACAAAACACTTTGCTTTTTAAAGAAGAAAAACCAAAACTAACAAAAGCCTTTGCTCCTCCGTCATTCTTGCCTCTCCATTATATATTCATTTGTCATAGTGGCCTTGGGAGCTGCGATGTGTCACGCAGTAGACTCTTTTGTCCACACAGCTTTACTTGCAAATGTTTACTGCAATAAGTTGTTGGTCTGGTTCAAGGCCTCTTGCTTCTGGTACACCATCAATCTGGACCCTCACTGAAACTTCTCACGAATATCCTGCTGTTGCCCCAGTCATGGAGATCCTTTGGCTAGGGTTCCGCAGGATGAGTCCCTTCACTAGCTCCAGCAGGTCATAGATGGGGTAGATGTCGGGGTGGGCCAACTCAAAGCCTGGATGTGAGCTTGAGTGGTAGCTGAGTTGGTCAGTCTGGGCATCAACCTCCCCAAAACAACATGGTCGAGCCTGTCACAGCAATACTCTACTCCTGGTACCAAATTGACTTAGTTAGGGTCAATATTGCTACATCATGACCAAAAGCAATGTAGGGAGGAAAAGGTTTATTTCACTCATGGTTCTGTATAACAGTTCATCATCAAGAGTGAGGGTAGGAACTCAAGCAGGGACATAACTCTGGAGGCAAGAGCTGATGCAGAGGCCATGGAGGGTTGCTCCTTACTCGCTTGCTCACGTGGCTTGCTCAATTCTTATAGAACCCAGGACCACCAACCAGTCCAGGGATGGTACCACTCACGATGGGCTGTGCCTTTCTTTATCATTACTAATTAAGAAAATGCCCTACAACCAAACCTTAGGGAGGTATTTTTTTCAGTTGGGGTTCCTTCCTTTCAGATAACTCTAGCTTGTTAAGTTCATGTCAAGCTGACATAAAACTGGCCAGCACACATCCTCTGAGTTTTTATATGGATGCAGAGCATCCAAACTGTGGTCCTCACATTTGCACCTCCAGGGCTTTAGCCACTGAGCCTCCTCCCCTGACTCCCCTCTCTAACTTCAGTGTGTAGCCTGGGGCTCTTGTTCAAAAGCACTTTGCAGCTCTGCAGGTCTAGATGAGGCTGACACTCTGTGTTGCCCAGTTGTCTGGTGGCACAGGTCTACAGGCCACACCTGGAGCAGCGAAGTCTGCCCTGACATCCAAAGGGAAGCCAGCCAGGGTCTGGGAGCTTTCCAAACTGAAGTTCTGAGGACCTGCTGGGGTTGACCCTCAGCAGCACACAAGCAGTGAGGACTGGAGAGATCCTGGCCTGAGTGGCCTACAGGCTTCCTCCACAAACTCAGCTTACAAAAGAATGTGGGGAAGTTAGACCGGGAGACACACATCAGAGAACAATTACAAACAAATGGTATAGATTAGCCCAGTTTGTTAAAACAGAGTGAGTCACGTCACTTAAACATCATTAAATGATAATATGAGGGGGATTCAGGAGATAGACCTAAGGTAGAGACCCTATTTCCTGGACACTGTGGGAATTCTTATAGCAGCCTGCTTGGAGGCCCACGAAAATCTCCTAAGTTCAAGATTGTATTTTTACTTTGACGTAATTTCTTTAAAAATTCTAGGAGTTACAACTAGACCTGTAGAGTGTATGGAAGCAGAAAGATAAACAATAATCTCTAGGGATCAACATCGATGCTTTAAGTTGGAGCCAGGCCAAACAGCATAATGACACTGCCTGAATGATGACCCGGGTACAGGCAGGAAGACCGTGGACATGGTATTTCTAAGC